AGGTTGCGGGAGAAACTCCTCCAGAAATCAATCGACAGAGTTTCGACAGGTTACACATTAATTGTTTATTAGAGTTTTTTCGCTGTGCATCACTCGTTTCATTACTTTCCAAATCTATTTTCAATACTGCCAAATTCCAGAAAGAGATAAACGAAAACGTTTTAAAAGGGTAGTATATTTGCGTTGTGGTTGTTTGTCACTTTTTATTTAGTGATTTTTTGTTGCTTGCGATTTTTTCAAACTCTATCAATTTTTGTGATTTTCTTACTATTAACCAATAACTATCAATATGTCTAGCGAATTATACCAAAAGGTCTCACTGAATCTCCATTGGAGCATATAACTGCTTCTTCAGTTATTTTCCAAGTTATAGAAGAAGAACCTTGGATCTCTAAAGAAGAATCTAGAACTATAGTAAACAATGCTATTAACGCCTCACTAAATATCTATTCTGATGATACATCTATGTAGAATAAATTACTTAGAATCCTTACACAGGTGGGTTTACATTTTTATTATATATTGATGTCATTAGAGCAAATGATGAGTGGCACAAATGCAACATGTAGCTGGCATAATAGTTAATTCATCACATAGATAGACATAATTTTTTATTTTTATTATTATGCAGGATCTTGAGTAAATTTGAGAAACAAAAAATGAAATTGCGATTTTTGTCGAATTTTAGATTATTTTAATTAAAATTTTTCTAGATGTTTTGAGAGTATCAAAATTTACATGCATATTCACCAAAACCTAAGCTACATTTTGATAAAATTTTATGTAGTTATTATGTGCGTTTTTGTATAATTAGTAAAAATAGGTGTCCGGATACTTTTGTCCAGGGAGTGTATATGTTAGTGCTCAAGTATTCGCAAAAAGGAGATTTACACAATCATCTATCAAAAAACTTAAGAATATTTCTTGGGATAATAAGTTACAATCACTTTCTAGTATTTCAGCTGGGTAAGATAAATAATTTTATTGAAGAATTTTATTCCATCACAAAATAGTGATTTTTTTTTAACAAAGATTAACTGAAATACATTCAAAGGACTTTGTACATCATGATTTACACAGTGGTAATATTTTGGTGAATAAGAAAAACTCAACATTGATAGCTGATCTAGGATTATGTAAATTAATTAAAAATTTATTGTGTGATTAATTTTCAATTTCCTGTAAAAACCTACAAAGTGAACATAAAATTATATATATAGAGTTACAGGTATATGAAAAGTAATAATGTAAATAGCAACCATAATGGATCTAATGAATATCAAAAGGCAATTGATTTTTTAGAAAAAGGTTGTAAATGTGGTTGCTCTTCAAGAATTCCCAAAGAACAATTTGCAGAATTAAGAGAATTTTTTCAGGCTCTTTCCAAGTCTGAACAAGACATATTTTTAATGGCCCAACTTAAAGCAATGGATGGAGGGACAGTAAGCACCAGTAGACGCCTTAAGAAGAAAACCAGATCTAACAAAAAAACTTTCTATCACTGGGATCACAATACACCCCTTTGTCAAGAAACTTATCTCAATATATTAGGAATTGGCAGAACTTATTTTAAACATATCAGAAATCATCTAATAAACAATGGTCTTCTGCCAAGAATTCATGGCAATATTAAAAGAATGCCTCAATGGAAAACTAAATGGTGATTGATAAAATGTTGCAGAGTAGTAAAGAATTTTCTAGAAAATTATGCAGAAGTCCATGGATTACCAAGTCCAGGCAAAAGTATCAATAGAATAACCCAATCAATTGTATTCTTACCAGCTGAAATGGGTTATAAATCAGTACATAGAGATTTTCTAGCTGGTCTAGAGGAAGATAGTAATTTGAAATCTTTGAAGTATGATGCTTTTAGGAAGTTGTGACATCAATTAACACCAGAGATTCAAATTATGAGTCCAAGGACTGATTTGTGTGATACTTGTCAACATTTTAGAGATGGTTTACATTA